CTAACACTGAGCCACCCTGTCACCTCCCCAGTGGAGGCCTCCTGGCTTAAGGGCTAACACTGAGCCACCCTGTCACCTCCCCAGTGGAGGACTCTAGATCTGCGCTATACCACTAAGCTATGTCCACAGCCCCAGATGCATTTTCCCCCAAATCTGTTCCTTCCATGTTTATGATAGATTTGGAATCTGTTTACAGGGATGGCAAAGGTCAGACCTTCAGACAGGACATGAAGCTCTCTCTCTTTAACCAGCCCTTCTGACCTGACTTCCTTTCTCTCCCTTGGCTTCTGCAGGCAGATAAGACCTGGATCAACAGAGGCTGCACCCAGACTTGCACCTGCGCAGGAGGGGCCATCCTGTGCAGGAACTTCCAGTGTCCCTCGGGTACTTACTGCAAGGACATCGAGGATGGCAACAGTAGCTGCACCAAAATCAGTAAGGGAGCCGTGGGGAAGGTGGGGAGGGTGCTCATGGCTGGAGGGATCAGACGGGGAGAAGGAGGGTATTCCCCTGATCTTATGAGATCTGGGATGGGAGTACCGCCATGGGGAGGTATGTGAGGACCCGTGGCTGGGCTGGAGTCCACTGCTAGTCTTTACATTGTTGGTCTCCAAATTGACTTGGCAGATTGAAATTTTTTTTTAATTTTTTAAAAGATGTTTTTAATACATGTATAATGGAGTATCTATGTGTGTGTGTGTGTGTGTGTGTGTGTGTGTGTGTGTGTGTGTGTGTTTTGCACCTGAGTGCAGTGCATGTAGAGGCCAGAATGGATGCTGCATCATCTGAAGGTGGAATTACAGGGGATGCTGAGCCACCTTATAAGGATGCAGGGATCTGAACTCAAGTCGCGTGTAAGAGCAGCAAGCAATCTTAAAGGCTGAGCCCTCTCTCCAGCCCCTTAGTCTGGTTTCTGTACCTTGCTCACTTGGACCTTCTAGGTCATCTCCAGTAATTTGCCTTCCTCTGCCCCCATAGCTGTGCAGTGCCCCAACCACAGCCACCACACCAACTGCGTGCCATCTTGTCTGGCTTCCTGCTCAGACCCAGAAGGCCACTGTGAGGGGATCAGCACCAAAGCCCCCTCTACCTGCAAGGAGGGCTGTGTCTGTGAACCTGGCTTTGTGCTGCGTGATGGCAAGTGTGTGCTTAGAAATCACTGTGGCTGCAAGGACGCCCAGGGTGCTCTCATCCCGGTGAGCGGGCATCTAATGTGGGGTTGTGGGTGATGGGAAATGGCTCAGGGTAAAACATTTGCTGAAGAGAACTGAGGACCGGAATGTGAATCTATCCAGTCAGTGTAGGCTTTGGTGGTGTGCGTCTGTAATCCCAGGGCTCCTACCAGGAGATAGGAAACAGAGTGAACGACAATAAAGGGGGGGGGGGGATGGGAGAAAAGAAGGGTGGGAGGAAGGGAAGAAGAGAGAGTCTCAGAACAAAGTAAAAGATGAGGACCAATATTCAAGATTGTCCTCCGACCTCCATGCATACATGTGTTCCTGCTCCCACCCACAAACACTTGAAACTGTTTGTAAAAGTGAGATTAAGGACCACTGCTTTCATTCCTCTTGCTTTTCTCCACCTGGGCTGCTCCTGTCTGTATGGCTGTCCTGTAAGTCCAAAGGCTCAAGAGCAAGCTATGGCCTCATCCCCTCTTGGGAGATTGTAGTCAAGTACTCTACAACTGAGCTGTACTCCCAGTCCTCAATGATGGATCCTAGATAGTTGCTCTACCTCTAAGCCATAGCCCAGACCCTCTTGAAGGATTCTAAACAAATGTCCTATCTCTAAACCACAGCCTGCCCACCACCCCACTTATTACTTCTGAGGATTCTGAACATACATCTGAACTGTGCTCCCATGCTCCAATGCTCCCAAACCCCCAGCTGAGAATTCTTAGGGCTCAGCTCTGTCACTGAGTTATGCCCTTAGTCCCTCACTGGAGGATTCTAGGCATAGCCTATACCACTGAGCTATGTCCGTAGCCTCCGCTGTATTTTCTCCCCATATACCTTCCATCCATAGCTGGCTAAATGAATACATACAGAACGTGCAGATACGGAAGGCAAAGGTAACTTCCTCAGACAGGAGGCAAAGCTGTCTCTCTCTAATAAATCCTACACCCCCACTTCCCCTCCCTTGGCTTCTGCAGGCAAACAAGACCTGGATCAACAGAGGCTGCACCCAGAGCTGTACCTGTGTGGGAGGGGTCATCCTGTGCAGGAATTTCCAGTGTCCCTCGGGGACTTACTGCAGAGACATTGTGGATGGCAACAGTAACTGCACCAAAATCAGTAAGGGAGCCATGGGGAAGGTGGGGAGGGTGTGCTTGTGGCTGAGGAGACCAGAGGTAGAGCAAGAAGGAGCTTAGTCCCCTGAGCCTATGAAATCTGGGATAAGAGGTACCACTATGGGAATGGGTTGTGGGGAGCCGTGGCTGAGCTGGATCCTTTCTCACTGTTAGTCTCTCAGTTGTCAGTCTCCACATTGACCTGGAAGACGTGTTCTTTGTAAAGATTTTATTTATAATTCCATGTATAGCGGTGTGTCTGTATATGGTATGTGCACCCGAGCAAGTTCATACAGGAACCACAGAGGACATCAGATGCTCTGGAGCCTGACTTACACAAGATTCTTGTACAGGACAAACTTAACTTGGGTCCACAAGAGCAACAAGTAGTCTTAACTGCTAAGCCACCTCTCCAGTCCCAGGAGCTCCTCCCTTGCTGTTTTCCTTAGGACTTGGCATAAAGTTCACACTCAGGAAATGTTGGCTGAATGAGTAACAAGAGTCGTGGGGAGCGCCACACTCTCTTGAGCATTCTGCTTTGACCCTGTGTTCCTCTTCATTAACCACACTCTCTCTGCCCCATAGCTGTGCAGTGCCCCAACCACAGCCAGCACACCAACTGCGTGCCATCTTGTCTGGCTTCCTGCTCAGACCCAGAAGGCCACTGTGAGGGGATCAGCACCAAATCCCCCTCTACCTGCAAGGAGGGCTGTGTCTGCGAACCTGGCTTTGTGCTGCATGATGGCAAGTGTGTGCTTAGAAATCACTGTGGCTGCAAGGACGCCCAGGGTGCTCTCATCCCGGTGAGTGGGCACAGAAGGTAGGATTAGTGGGGTCTGTGAACATATCTCCATTGTTAAGTATTCATCCTGCAAGTATTCGGACCTGGGTTTGAATCTCCACAACTCATGTGAGATGAACACAGTAGCCTATGTCTATAACCCCAGTGCTTCTTCTGGGAGATGGGAACGGAAGACAGCAGAATCCTAGAAACTTGAGAACTAGTTTAGTCTTGTGTGTGCAGTGGTGGCCAAAACAAAGAGAAAAAGACACATACAGAGGGACACACTAAACTTTTCAATACAAGCTACAATGTGAGTACCAATACTTGAGATTAGCCTCTAACCTTTACATCTAAGTACACACACTCAGGGGCAGGGGAGGGTGATGGCTCATGTATTTAATCCCAGTACTTGGTAAGCAGAGTCAGGTATGCCCCTAAAAGTTCAGAGCCAACCTGAGCTGCATAACAAGTTCCAGACCAGCCAGGGCTACATAGTGAGGACCTGTCTCAAAAACAGACAGACCAATCAACAAACGAAAATAAAACCCATGCAGGGTTGGGAGCCACTAACTCATTTCTTCTGCCTCTCTGAACCTGGGATTCTCCAGCCTGTATGGCTGGTGCTAGAATGTGAAGATTGTTCAGGTCCAGGCACAGGGTAGGCAAATGTGCTACCACTGAGCCACTCCCCAGCCCTCACTGGGAATTCCAGGCAAGTATTCTACTTCAAAATCACACAACCACCCATCACTAAGGATTCTAGTTAGGTGCTCTGCAACTGAGCTATGTTCCCTACGTCCCTACTATAGGATTCAGGGTCAACATTCTACCACAGACCTACTCCCGCAGTGTCCTGACCTAGAATTCCAGGCAGAGATGTTGCTGATTGCTCATGCTCCCCACCTGCTCACTGGGAGATTGCAGGCAGGTTCTATTCTGCTGAGTTGTACATACAGAAACAGAAGGAAATATTATTTCCTACCTGTTGTTGACTGACTCAGTAGATCTGCAGTAGCAATAGGGAGGGCAAACCTAAGTCAGACAAATGAGGTTGTCTCTAGCTAACCTCCCCTTCCTCACTTTCTGTCTCTTTCTATGTCTTTTGCAGTCAGGCAAGACTTGGATCTCCAGGGGCTGCACCCAGAGCTGTGCCTGCTCAGGAGGGATCATCCAGTGCCAGAATTTCCAGTGTTCCCCAGGGACTCACTGCAAGGACAACAATGATGGCAGCAGCAACTGTGCTAAAATCAGTAAGGGGGGCATAGGGGAAGATGAAGAAGTTGTACTGGTGGCTGAACAGACTAGAGGGAGGGCAAGAAGGAGCTATGAGCCAGCCAGTGGTGGTACACACCTTTAATCCCAGCACTCGGGAGACAGAGGCAGGCAAATCTCTGAGTTTGAGACCAGCTTGGTCTACAAGAGCTAGTTACAGGACAACTAGGATAGATACACAGAGAAAAAAGGAGCTTAGTTCTTGTTCCTTGGGTTTTAGAGGTTTGGGGATAGAAGTTACCACAGTAGAGAAAGAGTTTGTGGAGCCATGGCTGGGCTGCGTCCCTTTTCACTCTTAGTCTCAACATTGACTTGAGGGACCCATTTTTCTTACTTTTTCTCTTGTGGATTGATAAATGGGGCATGCTCAGTGAATGCTTGTGCAGGTGGGGTGGAGAAGGATCCTTCTGTCGAGTCTCACCCCTACACAGAAGCACTTCCTTGGGTTTCCTCTGGTCCTCTCCATAAGTCTGTTCTCCCTCTACTCCATAGCTCTGCAGTGTCCCGCCAACAGCCACTACACCGACTGCCTTCCCTCCTGCCCACCCTCTTGCTTGGACCTGGAGGGCCACTGCGAAGGCACCAGTCCCAAAGTCCCCCCAACTTGCAATGAAGGTTGCCTCTGCCACTCTGGCTTTGTGCTCAGTAACGACAAATGTATACCCAGAATTCAGTGTGACTGCAAAGATGCCCAGGGCGCTCTCATCCCGGTGAGTGGGCTTGGAGAGTGGGAATGTCTTCTCCTCCTGGGCTTCCTCTTCCTCTTCTTTCTTCTGCTCCTCTCAGTCTGGGATGCGCTTGTCTATATGGCTGGCCTGGGGATGTGAAGAAAGGTCTGTCCTTGCATAGGCTAAGTAAGTGCTTTTCCCTGAGAACCATTCCTAACCCCTTGTTGTATGATTCTAGGCACTTGTTCTACCACTGAGTCATGCCGCAGCCCTTCACTGTGTAATTCTAGACAGATGCTCTCTGTTGAAATAGTTTCCAGCAGCTCTCTGTCAGATACTAAGCCCCATCCATAGATGCATGTAACACAAAGGGGGCTGCTTGTTGGGGTTTCTGTCCTGCCCGGTACCCAACAGCTGACAAGCCCCAAAGAAAATCACACAAAGATCTTCATAAGTTATAAAACTGATTGGCCCATTAGCTCAGGCTACTTATTAGCTCTTGTAGATTATATTAACCCATTATTCTTATCTATGTTAGCCACATGGCTTGGTACCTTTCTCAGCGGAGCAGCTCACATCTTGCTTCCTCAATGATCTAGGTAGAACTGTGGAAGGAGCTTCCTGCTTCCCAGAATCCTCCTGTTCTCATCGCCCCACCTCTACTTCCTGTCTGGTTGACCCATCTATACTTCCTGCCTGGCCAATCAGCATTTATTTAAAACATGATTGATAGAATACAGACAATTCTCCTGCACCACTCCCCCCCACTTTTCTTTAAACAAAGGAAAATATCCAGTTCATTTGTTGGGAATGTAGGCATAGTATTCCAGGCTACTTTCGGCTGGTTGGGGGTGCTGATAATCTTATGGGGACCTAAAGAAAATTTAGAATTATCATTAAGTCCTGACTGGAGTATCCTGTGAGTCTTGACCATCTCAGGCAGCAGTCTTGAATCTGTTCTGGATGTAGAACTTAGACATCTGGGCCATTTGTTCCTATCAGAGATTTCTCAGGTGGTCTTGCTTGATCAAACCTGAGTTTTCTTAACTCAGAATGAATCCACAGCCTCTCATTTCCTGTGGAAACAAAAGCAAAATCTCTTTTCCAAAGTAACATACCTTTTGACTTCAATTTTGAAGTCAAGGTATTTTCAAAATACCTATCTTGGGTTAGTTCAGTAGCATTTATAAACAACAGTCCTTTAGCAGCTGTTGTTCCTTCCTCAGTATTCAAACAATTCAAAGAGAGCATAATAACATACAGTATCAAGATTCTCTGTGTATTTTCCACCTTTATGCAGCTTTACCTTAACCTCTATTTCTTTTATTTTTACTTTTAACTTTTGGCTTTTTGAGACAGGTTCTCTGTATATCTTTGTCCTGGAATTCCCTCTGTAAACCAGGCTATCCTTGAACTCACAGAGATCCACTTGTCTCTGCCTCCCCAGTGCTGGGACTAAAGGTGTTTGCTACCATACCTTGAAGTCACAGAGGTCAATCTACCTCTGCCTCCCAAGTGTTGGGATTAAAGGTGTGTACCTCCACACCCAACTACTCTCTTTCTTTCTTTTTTTACTTTAAGAACTTTAACCTTTAGCCTGCATATATTTTTAACATATAGTAAACCATTTAGAGGTTTTCTTCATCTTTGAATCTGTCTTTACTGTATATCACTCTCTTTTTCTGACCACATGAGCCTTTAATTTACTAAGCAATATGGGTAGGAATAAAGCTGAGGCTTTGACAGCTGGATCCAGCCCATTCCTTAGCTTTCCAGCCTCATGGCGGAGGTACCGGCTGTAGCCATTTTTATTGCCACAACTCTATGGCGTTTTAAGTTCCCTGCCAGCAAGCAAGCTGCAGCATTCTGCTCACAGACCACATTCAAATGCTCTGTAGTCAGATCGCCTGCCTGAAAGAGTCAGAGTTTGCCCTGGCAGGACAGCCCAGAAAGTTGGCATTTTAAAACGGCGCAGCTTTTTCCCTGCTATGACTGAAAACCGAAAAGCATGCTTTCAGCTTTTCATCAACACCGTTTAAGTGTTTTGTGGCAGGACCTCTTAAAAGAGCTGCAGATGCAGTATTTTTTCATGTACTAATGGCTGATGCAGTAGATATGGGCCTATAGAATGGGAGGGAAAGTGAAAGTCCCGCAGATAGCAGTAAGGCTGTCTTCCTTGAACCAGCCCCTTTCCCACTCCCTTCCTCTTCCTGTGGCTTCTGCAGGCAGGCAAGACCTGGACTCCTAGAGGCTGTAGCCAGAGCTGTACCTGCACAGGAGGGACTGTCCAATGTCAGAATTTCCAGTGTCCTTCGGAGACTTACTGCAAGGACAACCATGATGGCAACAGTAACTGTGTGAAAATCAGTAAGGAAGCCATGGGAGAGGTGGAGCAAGTGTGCTCATGACTGGAAGAGTCCGAAGCAGGGCAAGAAGGCACTTAGTTCACACTTAAGAGGTCATGGATTCGAGGATCCATGTAGGAATTCTGGAATTCAATAGGAGGGATCCTGGGAACATAGAGTGTGACTGAGTCCTTCCTTTCTCAGGGTTAGTCTCCCACACTGAGTTAGAAGAAACTATTCTTTCCATCTGTCCTACGTGTTGGACACATAGCCCATCCTCAATGAATGAACACTACTAAGAAGGTTAAAAGCCCCAAACTCTGTTGGTTATTCTGCTTAGTTTGATATTTACAGCAATGCCTTCCTTGTGCCTTCTCCACTAACCCTTCTATCCTTCTACTCCAAAGCTATACAGTGCCCGGACCACAGCCACTTCACGGACTGTCTTCCCTCCTGTCAACCTTCCTGCTTTAACCCTGATGGCCGCTGTGAGGGAACCAGCTCTGAAGTCCCTTGCAAGGAGGGCTGCATCTGTCAACCCGGCTATGTGTTGGGTAATGACAAGTGTGTGCTCAAAATTGAGTGTGACTGTAAAGACGCCCACGGTACTCTCATTCCGGTGAGTGAGCTGGGAAATCAGGATGGTAGGGGGAGATTGTTGGTAGACCCAACTGATGTGAAATCTGGAGACAGTGAGGCCAAACGTAAGTACCTCTAACAGGAAGTGAAGTTGTCTCCTGAGAACTAAGTGCCAGAGAGATGGCTCCTTGGTTAAGAGCACTTGCTCCTCTATCAAGAGGATTGGAACTTTGATCCCAGCTACTCACAAATGCCTATAATGCCTATTACAAATGCCTCAAGGGACTGATGTGTCTTCTGGCCTCCATGAGCCATCATACTCATATACTCACATGTACACACACACACAAACATAAATAAATAAAAAGCCACCCTCAGACTTTACTTCCTTCCATTTCTTATGACTTCTGCAGGCAGGCAAGACCTGGATCTCTGCAGGCTGTACCCAGAGCTGCACCTGTGTGGGAGGCGCCATCCAGTGCAGGAATTTCCAGTGTCCCCAAGGGACTTACTGCAAGGGCAGCAATGATGGCGGCAGTAACTGTTCTGAAATACGTAAGGGAACCATGGGGGAGCCGTGGAGGAGGTGTAGAGGGCGTGCTCCTGATTGGAGGAACCAGAGGCAAGACAGGAGCTTCTTTCTCTGAGCCTAGAGACTGGGTATAAAAGTTACAACAGTGGGGGTGGGTTCTGGGACCCGCAGCTGAGTCCCCTCTCAGTGTCAGTCTCTCAGTGGGTAATCTCCCACACTGACTTGGAACTTGTCTTCTTGCTTTCTTCTCTCAGGACTTGTCACAGGGCCATGCTCAGTAAATGTTTACTAAATGAATAAAACAAAAGAAAACTAAGGCCCAAAGAGATATTGCTCACTTTGCCAGACTTGCTTTCTATAACCTGTGCTCTCTTGGGTCCCCTCATTGACTCCATTCTCTCTACCCCAAAGCTGTACAATGCCCCGCCCACAGCCATTTCACCAGCTGCCTTCCCTCCTGTCCACCTTCCTGTTCAATTATGGATGGCCACTGTGAGGAATCCAGCTCCAAAGTCCCCGCAACCTGTAAGGAGGGCTGTGTGTGTCAACCTGGCTACTTATTGAATAATGGCAAGTGTGTGCTCCGAATTCAGTGTGGCTGCAGAGACGCCCAGGGTGACCTCATTCCTGTGAGTAGATGTGGAAAAAAAAGGGATTGGTGGGATGGCTAAGGAAATGGCTCACTGGGTAAAATGTTTGCCTTACAAGTGTGAGGGCCTGAGTTTGAATCTCCAGAACCTATGTAAGCTGGATGTGGTAGCTCCTAGCTTCTACCGGAAACTTGTAGGCTAGCTAGTCTTATGATTGCCCAGAGACAGCCTCACAACACAAGGTAGAAGGTGAGGACCAATATTCCAGGCTGTATTCTGACTTTCACACATATCTGCACAAACACTCCAACACACATGACTATACATGAAAACACGCACACAGAGATTTAAAATAAAAGTGCAATGTGCTTCTTACCTCTGCTTTTGTTAACCTGGGATGTGCCTATATTTTTATTTATTTTGTTTTTGTTTTTTGAGACAAGGTCTCTCTATGTAGTCCTGACTATCCTGTAATTTACTATTTAGACAGACCAAGCAGGTCTTGAACTCACAGAGATCTGCTTACTCTGTCTCCTGAGTGCTAGGAGTGAAGGTGTGTGCCACCACATGGATGTGCCTGTCTTCAGAACTGACTCTAGAGTGTGAAGGCTGGTCATGGCCTGTCACTGAGAACTCTAGGCAGGCTGTTCATAACTGATCACACCTCCAGCTCTAACTGCAGGACTCCAGGCAGGTGCTGTGCTCTAAGGTACGCCCACATCCCCTAATGCAATTATTTTTTTCAAAGATTTTTCCACCTGTAGTTTGCTGACTCAGTAGATGCAGTGAGAACAAACTTACGTACCTAAACCTACGTAAAGAGGCTGTCTCCTTAGAGCTAGCCTCTTCCTCACTTTTCTTCTCATGACTTCTGCAGGCAGGCAAGACCTGGCTCAACAAAGGCTGTACAGAGAGCTGCAACTGCATGGGAGGGACTGTCCAGTGCAGGACTTTCCAGTGTCCCCTGGGGACTCACTGCAATGACAGCAATAATGGCAGCCATGACTGTGTCAAAATCAGTAAGGGGTCATGGGGGAAGGTGGGGAGGGTGTGCTCATGACTGGAGGGACGAGAGGCAGGGCAACAGGGAGCTTAGTCCCTGGGCCTCAGAGGTTGGGAGAGAGTCTGTGGACCTTTGGCTGTGCTGAGACCCTTCTCATTGCTGTTTTCTCAATGGTTAGTCTTGCCCATTTAGTTGGGAGATCCATTCTTACTTTTTTAAGGACTTGACACACACCCCATGCTCAGTAAATATTTTCAAAATTATTAACAATATGGAAAAAATCCTGAAGCTCTGTGGGCCATTTCTCTGCTTCCTTAGGCCCCATCCAGTAACCCCAATCTCCCTCCATCCCATAGCTCTGCAATGTCCTGCCCATAGCCGCTACACAAACTGCCTTCCCCCATGTCCTCCTTCCTGTACTGATCTGGATGGCCACTGTGAGGGCACCAGCCCCAAAGTCCCCTCCACCTGCAAAGAGGGCTGTGTCTGCCAACCTGGATATGTACTGCATAACAACAAGTGTGTGCTCCAAATGCACTGTGGCTGCAAAGATGCACGGGGTGACTTCATTCCGGTGAGTGGGTGTGGAGAAGAGATTGTGAGTGCTAGCTCAGTGGGTCAGTTGTTCTCTTGTGCAAGTGTGAGGACCTGAGTTTGAATCTCCACAACTCACTAGAGATGAACAGTTACCTATGTCTGGAATCCCATCACTCTACCAGAACATGGTGGGCAGAGAAAGGAGAACCCCCAGAACTGCTTTGGCATGTGGGCCAGCACTCACACATGTGAACACACACACATGAACATACACACACACTGTACAATCTTTAAAAAGATTTATTCTTATTTTATGTGTGTGGGTGACTGCATGTATTCATATATATCATTTGGGAACCTGGTATCCACAGAAGCCAAAAGAAGGCATCAGATTCCCTGGAACTAGAGTTACAGGAGTTGTGAGCAGCCATGTGGGTGCTGGGAATTGAACCCAGGTCCTCTACAAGGTACCAAGTGCTCTTAACAGCTAAACCATCTCTGGAGCCATATAAAACTTTTTTTTTTTTTTTAAAAAAAAAGGTGGATTGTAGGCCACTTTTCTTTCATCTAATTCCTTCTGGAATGCTCCTGTCTGTATGTCTGGCCCTTGAGTTTGAAGCATGGTGAGGTTCTGGCACAGGCTAGGCAAGTGCTCTACTACTAAGCTACACCTCCAGTCCATCAGTGGAAGATTCTACCACTGAACCCCACCTCCAAACCCTCATTATAAAGACTCTAGACAGTAGTTCTACCCGCTGAGCCACACCCCAGCCCCTCACTGGGGGATTCTAGGTAGGGGCTCTACCAGTGAGCCACACCCTGGCCCCTCACTGGGGAATTCTAGGCTGGTGAGTTGTATGACTGAGCTATTATCCTTAGAGGTCCCTACTGAGGATTTAGGACCATGATCTACCAATGAACTGTTAATCCCCCTTCCCCATGTATAATTCTCTTTTCAAATATATTTCACCTATGGTTGACTCAATAGATGTGGAACTTATGGATGAATGGATGGATGGATGGATGGATGGATGGATGGATGGGGAGGGCAGACTGAAGCTGTTTGGACAGGAGGTGACAGGAGGCCTGTAACAGCCTCTCTGTCCTCACTCCCTTTCTCTTCTTATGGCTTCTGCAGGCAGGCAAGACCTGGCTCTCCAGTGACTGCACCCAGAGCTGTACCTGCATGGGAGGGGTTGTCCAATGTCACAGCTTCAACTGCCCCCCAGGGACTCAGTGCCAGAATGGCTCAGATGGCAACATTAACTGCACCAAAATCATCAGTAAGAGGACAATAGGGATAGAGGGGAGGGTGTGCTTGTGGCTGCAGGGATCAGAGACAGGGCAAGGAGCAGAGGTAGTCTCTGGCTTCGGAGGCTGGACATGAGAACTAGCACAATCCAGAGGAATTTGGGGGCCCCACTCTGGATTGCATCCCTTTTTAGTGTTAGTCTCTTTAGTACTAGGTTCCCACACTGACTTGGGAGATATATTCATTTGTTCTCTCCTCAGGGCTGGCACCCAACGCGTGATCAACAGGTGGTTGCTGGGTGAATAGCAAGGGAAAAATAAAACCAAAAAAAGAAAAAAAAAAAAAGCAGACAACATAAGTTGTGTTGGTCATTTATCCTAGCTCGGTTTCTGCAGCCTCTGTATCTTTGGGCCCCTCTGTCCCCATCTGCTAACGCTACTCTCTCTCCTTCATAGATATGAAGTGCCCCGCCCACAGCCGCTACACCAACTGTCTTCCCTCCTGCCCACCTTCCTGCTCAGACCCAGAAGGCCTCTGTGGGGGCGCCGTCCCAAAAGCCCCCTCCACCTGTAAAGAGGGCTGTGTCTGTCGATCTGGCTTTGTGCTGCATAACGACAAATGTGTACCCAGAATGCAGTGCAGCTGTAGAGACACCCAGGGTGTTCTCATCCCGGTGAGTGTGTGCCAAATGTAAGCCTGGTGGACCTGGGCAGATAGATGGCTCAGTGAGTAAGGCTGATTCAGCACAAGTGGAGGACATGACTGGAATCTCTACAGTCCAGCGAACTGATTGCCGGAGGTCTTTATGTCATCTCAGGGTTTTATGTCGGAGGTAGAGATAGGAGAATACCCAAAATTTAAGGGCTTGCTAATCTGTGTTATCTGATATCTGAATATGGGATAAAAGGTGATACCAACACCCAAGATTTGTCCTCTGACCTCCACACATATGTGTTCCATCGTTAAATATAGAAACACAAAGATAAGTTTTTAAAAAAAAAAAAAAAGTAGGGGCTGGATAGATGGCTCAGAGGTTAAGAGCACTGACTGCTCTTCCAGAGGACCTGGGTTCAATTCCCAGCACCCACATGGCAGCTCACAACTGTCTGTGACTCCAGTTCCAGGGGACCTGACACTGGTGGCAAAACACCAATGCACATAAAAGAAAAGTAATTTTTTAAAAAAGTAGTGTACCTGGAACTTGGCTCCAGAGATAAAGGCACTTGCCTATGGGCTGAGTCAATTTATTGAACCTATGTGGTGGAAGAAGAGAAATGACTCCAGCAAGCTGCCTTCTGACAACCACACTTGTGCCATGGCATATGTACATGTGTGTGCACACACAAAGAAAAATATAAATGTAAGATTTGTTTTCAAAGTGAGATTGGTAGCCATTTCTCTTTCCCTTTGCTTTTGTCCATCTGGGGTTCTCCTGTCTTTATGGCTAGTCCTGCAGTGCGAAACTTGGTCGTGCATGGCACATGCTATGTAAGTGTTCTATCATTTAACCACACATCCCCTTACAGGTTCATCACTTGGGGATTCAAGGCAAATACTAAAAAGCCTTGCTTCATAACTGAGCTATGCTCCCAGACCCCTACAGAAAATTTCTCAGCCACAGTTTTACCACTGAGCCACATCCCAGCCCCTCACTGGGAGATTCTAGGCAGGTGCTCTACCACTGAGCCACACCCCAGCCCCTCACTGGGGGATCCTAGGCAGGTGCTCTACCACTGAGCCACACCCCAGCCCCTCACTGGGGGATTCTAGGCAGGTGCTCTACCACTGAGCCACATACCTATCCCTCACCTGGAGATTCTAAATAGCCACAATCCCACTGAGCTATACCAAAATTCCCAGTTGTAATAGTTTTTTCCAGTATTTTCCACCTGTGATTGGTTGATTCTATAGAATGAAACCTGTGGACAGGGAGGACAAATGTGAGCCCTTCAGACAGGGCACAAAGCTGTCTCCCAAGAACTGCCATCTCTAGATGTCTACTTCTTTTTTCTCTCCATGATCTCTGCAGGCAGACAAGACCTGGCTCTCCAGAGGCTGTACCCAGAACTGTACCTGCTTGGCAGGGAACATACATTGCCAGAATTTCCAGTGTCCCACTGGGACTCACTGCAAGGACAATGATGATGGCAATCGTAACTGTGCCAAAGATGGTAAGGAAAATGGAGAGGGTGTGTTCATGACTGGTGGATCAGAAATAGAACAAGAAACTTAGTCTCCTGGACCTGAGAGATCAGGATACTATGTCACAGTGGGGAGGGTTCTGGGAACCCACAGCAGGGTCTCCTCTCAGCTTTCCTCTCCTAGTCATTTGGCTCCCACACTGACTTGGGAGACCCACTCTTCTTACTTTCTTCTCTCAGGACTTGGCACAGTTTATGCTCACTAAGGGTGTACTGTATGGATAAACAAAGAGGAAAATCACAAGCTCTTCTTGCCCTGTCCTGCGTAGTTTCTTTAGTCCCTACTTCCTAGGCTCTCTATAGCCCTGTGTACTGACTTCATATCCTTCCACCCTGTAGCTCTGCAGTGCCCAGACCACAGCTACCACACCAACTGCCTTCCTTCCTGCATCCCATCCTGCTCCAACCTGAACGAACACTGTGAGGTTACCAGCCCCAAAGGCCCCTCCACCTGCAAGGAAGGCTGCCTCTGTCAGTCTGGCTTTGTGCTCAACAGGGACAAGTGTGTACCCAGAATTCAATGTGACTGCAAAGACTCCCATGGTGCTCTCATCCCAGTGAGTGGGCTTAGATCTGGGACTGGAGTCTTCCTTCTTCCCCTGTTCTGTGCGCCTGGGATGTACATGACTATATCACTGACCCTGGAGATGTTCAGATCCCAGAACATAGGAGCATGCTCTTTCATTGAGCCATATTCCAGCCCCTCACTGGGGGATTCCAGACAGATAATCTGTGGCTAAGACCTGTTCCCACCTTCTTCCTAGTGGAGTCTACATAGGCCCTCTCCCACCAGGCAGCTCCAGATACAATTTTCCCCTGCTTCCCACCTGTACTTAGCTGACTTAATAGATGTGGAGCCTGCAGGTAAGGAGGGCAAATATAAGCCCTTCAGACAGCAGGCTAAGCCTGTCTCCTTACAACTGGCTCCTTTGTCCTTACTTCCTGCATCCTCCTGTGACTTCTGTAGGCAGGAAAGACCTGGATTGCTGCAGGCTGTTCCCAGAGATGTACCTGCATGGGAGGACTTATTCAGTGCCAGGGCTTCCAGTGCCCCTCAGGAACTCAGTGCCAGGACATCGAGGATAACAGCAGCAGTTGTGTTGAAATCAGTAAGGAACCTCGAAGGGAGATGAAGAGATTGTCCTCATGCCTGGAGGAAACAGAGGCAGGGCAAGAAAGCACTCAGGCCCCTCCCTGGGCTTGGGAGTTCAGGGGCTGGAGGAGTAACATGGTGGGAAGGGATTCTGGAGACTGTGGCTAGGCTGTGTCCTTCTAAGTGTCAGTCTCTCCGTGGTCAGTGTCGCAGTTCATTTCTGTTGCTGTGATACCATGTGCGGTGACAAAAAGCAGCTTGGGGACAAAGGGCTTCTTTTGGCTCACAGTTCCAGCCCATCACTGTGGGGAACTTAGAGAGTTAATCACAGGCACAGTCGGACAAAGTACAGTGCATGCTTGCCCGCTCACTCACATTTAGCTAGCTTTCTCTTCTCTATACAGCCCAGGGCCAAACCCAGGGAATTCTGCCATCCACAGTGGGCTGAATTTCCTGTATCAATTAATGTAGTCCAGACAGTTCCAGTCTGACCTGGACAAGCCTTATTACAACTCTTCCTAGATGATTCTACATTGTGTCAAATTGATAGTCAAAACTAACCATCAGAATTAGTGTCCCGTGTTATCCTGGGAGATCTACCTTTTCTTACTTTCTTCTCTTAGGAATTCCCACACAGCCCACGTCAGTAAATGTTTGCCGAACGGTCCCTTCCCAGTGCTAATCTCTTAATAGTTTCCCATACTGAGTGGAGGAAAACCATTCTTATTTTCTTTCCTCAGGGCTTGGCACAGTCCATGCTCTGCCGAATGAATAACAATGAATGAGTTCTGTTAGCCACTCTGCCCATTCTTGTTTCTCTGGTCACTGCTTCCTAGCCCACCCTGTCCTCTCCACTAACCTTATTCTCCTTCCACTCCATAGTTGTACAGTGCCCAGCTCACAGTCGCTATACCAGCTGCCTTCCCTCCTGTTTGCCTTCTTGCTTGGACCCAGATGGCCTCTGCAAGGACACCAGCCCCAGAGCCTCCCCCACTTGCAAGGAGGGCTGTATCTGTCAATCTGGCTATATACTGAGCAGTGACAAGTGTATTCCCAGAACTCAGTGCAGCTGCAAAGATGCCCAGGGTAACCTCATCTTGGTGAGTGGGCCTCTGAAGTGGGGTTGGGGGAGGCTGAAGCTGAAAATGTGGAGAGGATCTGAGTTCTTTTTGTTGTTGTTTTCCAAGAGAGGCTTCTCTGTGTAGCCCTGACTGTCCCGGAACTTGCTCTGTAGACCAGGCTGGCCTCGAACTCACAGAGATCCACCTGCCTCTGCCTCCTGAGTGCTGGGGTTAAAGATGTGTGCCCCCATGCCCAGCTGAGGGTCTGAGTTCTAATCTTCATTATCCACGTAAACTGAATGCGACAGCCTGTATCTATACTCCTAGGGCTGCATTGAGCAATGGGAGGGACACAGCAGAATCCTTTGAAATTTGGGGGCCAGTTAGTCTTCTGTATCCAGAGGTAAACGACCACAAGGGGGAAGGCATGTCTCATTACAAAGTAGAAGGTCATACCCAACACCTGAGCTTGTCCTCCTGCCTCCACATGTATGTACACCTGCTCTCTCACACGCGAACATTCACACAAGCACTAAGATTACCTACTCCTCCCCCCCGAAAAAGAGTTAGATTGTGAATGACCTTTTCCTTTTGTCTGTTTCTCTCCATATTGGATAAATCTGTCTGTATGGCTGGCCCTGGAACATGCTAGACAAATGTTCTCTGAGAATCTTAGCTAGCCCTTCTTTGAGGGATTCTAGGCAGGCGCTCTACCACTGAGCCACACCCCAGCCCCTCACTGGGGAATTCTAGGCAGGTGCTCTACCTCTGAGCCACTCTACCCATAAGTTCAGATACAGTTTTTCCTCACTCTAGTAGTTGACTCAGTAGGTATGGAACTTGCAGATTAAGCTTGGTTCCTTAGAATCATCCTCTCCTCACTTCCTTTCTCTTCCCTGGCTTCTGCAGGCAGGCAAGACCTGGATCTCCAGTGGCTGCACCCAGAGCTGTGCCTGCATCAATGGGGCCATCCAGTGCCAAAAGTTCAGCTGCCCCTCGGAGTCCCACTGCCAGCATAGTGATGATGGCAGCAGTACCTGTGCCTCCAACAGTAAGGGAGCTACTGGGAAAGGTGGTGAGGGTATACTCGTTACTGGAGGAATCAGAGGCAGGGCAAGAGGATCCTAGTCTCCTGGGCCTTAGAGATGGGAGGTAGGAGCTACCACAGAGGGGAGGGGTCTGGGAACCCACAGCAGGGCCTCTGTCTCCCAATGGTTCAGCTCCCATGTTGACTTTGGAGGGCCACTCTCTCAGGAATCAGCACACAGTCCATGCTCACTACATGTTTGCTGAATGAATAATGAAGGGAGGGGAAACCCACAAGCAAGCTCTGTTGGTCATTCGTCCTAGCCTGACTTCTGAAGCCTCTGCTCCCACCATCATTCTCAGGTCCTCTCCACTAACACCACACCACTTCCATCCGACAGCCTTTCAATGCCCAGCCCACAGCCACTTCACCAGCTGCCTTCCTTCTTGTTTACCTTCCTGCTTGAATCCTGATGGGCACTGCGAGGGCACCAGCACCAAAGTCCCTGCCGTCTGCAATACAGGCTGCCTCTGTCAACCTGGCTACGTGCTGAACAATGACAAGTGTGTGCCCAGAATCCAGTGTGGCTGCAAAGATGTCCAGGGTGCTCTCATTCCAGTGAGTGAGCGTGGAGAATGGGATTAGTTGGGGGTGTGTGTGTGAAAACTTCAGTTCAAGTCCCCATACTCCATTTAAACTGGGCACATGGTTTACGTGCGTAATCCCAGAGCTCCTGCCAAAATATGGAAGGTACAAACAGGACAGCCCTCAGAAACGTGCAAGCTAGACAGTCTGGTGTACATAGTAGTGAACATCATCAAAACCAAAATGGGAAAGAGAAAGAGAGAGGGAGGGAGAAACAGAGAGAGAGAGAGAGAGAGAGAACTTGTTCTGGTGCAAGGTGGAATGAAGGTGCCCTTCAGGAGTACATGCACACCCACACATGCGTGAACATAAATGTGCGTGTGCACACAAACACATTTCTGAAAGTGGTCTTGGGAGCCATTTTCCCCTTTTATCTGCCTTGTCACGTGATGTTCCTATCTATGTAGCTTGTCCTGGAGTTGAAGGGTGGTCAGTTCTTGGCATAGGCTAGACCAGTGCCTACTGCTGCTCTGCCCCCTTGCTTGGGGTCTCTAGACAATTGCTCTGTCACTGAGCTACGCCCTCTGCTGTTCACTGGGGACTTCGTCCTCTTGTGACTTTTACAGGAAAACAAGACGTGGATCACTGATGGATGCACCCAGAGCTGTACCTGCAGGGGAGGGACTATCCAGTGTCATAACTTCAAATGCCCAACAGGGTCCCATTGCCAATACAATAAAGATGGCAGCAGAAGCTGTATCACCAGCGGTAAGAAAGTCATGGGGGAAGAAAGCAGGGTATCTGCTCATGGATGGAAGAATCAGAGCGAGGGCAAGAAGGAAAGTAGTTCTCTGGGGGACACACAGTCCATATTCAGTAAATCTTTTCTGGATGAATAACAAAAGGGACAGAGGAAGCCCTAAAGTTTCTGAGTTGTTCTGCCCACCCTGTTTAACATGGCCTCTGCTTCCTTGGGCTCCTCTGGTTCTCTACACTAATGCCACTCCCTTTCTGCCACAAAGCTCTGAAATGTCCGGCCCACAGCCTCTACACCAGCTGCCTCCCATCCTGTCTACCTACCTGCTCGGACCCGGAGGGCCTCTGCCAGGGCTCCAGCCCCAGGGTCCCCTCCACCTGCAAGGAGGGCTGTTTCTGTCGATCCGGCTACGTGCTGCATGACGACAAGTGTGTGCTCAGAATTCACTGTGGCTGCAAGGACGGCCGGGGCACCCTCCTCCATGTAAGCAGGCCTGGAGACTGCCACGAGGGAATGGGAGTTGGCTCCGTGAGTTGCTCCATAAATGTGAGGACCTGAGTTGAGTTCCCACTACCCATGGAAGCTGGGTACAGCTGTCTGTGACCCCAGTTTTCTTAAGATATAAGAGGTGACACCTCAACATGGATGTATGCTCACATTCTCATACACACACACACACACACACACACACACACACACACATACACACACACATACACGCGCGCACGCACACGCGCCTAGGTTTTTAAGGTTAGGATTAGAGCTTCTCCTTTTCTTGTCTCTCTGGATACTCTTACTTATATGGTTAGCTCCGAGATTTGAAGGTTTTAGAGTCTTGGCATGTGCCAGGGGACTGCTGTCCTAGTGTTCAGTAGAGGATTCTAGACAGATGTTCCTCTGCTGAACCATACCTCCTCTAACACTCCCTGGGGGATTCTAAACAAGCACTATACCTGCCACTGGGTACCGCCAACACCTCACTAAGAATTCTGGGCCAGTACTCTAGCTACTACTGGGTCACACCCCCTGAGCCATGCTCCCATCCCTCACTGAGTGTTCTAGTCAGGCTCAATTACACCCACAATCCCGGTGGCAATTTAAAAAAAAAAAAAAAGAATTTTTTTTTTGTCATCTGTAGTTGGTTGACTCAGTGGATATGGAACCTGCAGATGCATAGGGTAAATGTAAGACCCTTGGACAGAAAACTAAGCCCTATGTTCTCTTTCTTTCCCTTCTGGTGACTTCTGCAGACCGGCCAGACATGGATCTCTACTGACTGTACCCGGATTTGTACATGCAAGGAAGGATTCTTTCAATGCCAGAACTTCCAGTGCCCCTCAGGGACCCACTGCCAACAATATCAAGATGGCAACAGTAACTGTGTCTCCAATAGTAAGGGAGCCCATGGGAAGGGAAAGACAGAACCAGCTCATGGCTGGAGAAATCCGAGGCATGGCATGAGCCCTGTTCTTCTTCCACCCCACAGCTATGAAGTGCCCAGCCAACAGCCTCTACACCAGTTGCCTTCCCTCCTGTCAGCCTTCCTGCTCCAACCCAAATGGCCTCTGTGAGGGTGTCAGCCCCAAAGTCCCCTCCACCTGCAAGGAGGGCTGTGTCTGTCAACCTGGCTACCTGCTCAATGAGGACAAGTGTGTGCTCAGAAACCAATGTGGCTGCAAAGATACCAAAGGTGACCTCATCCCGGTGAGTTGGTGTGGAGCCTGGGATGGCGGGGAGTGGGGGGCAGGCACCCTCTGCATTTCTCAGCCTTGGATGCGCCTGTTTATATGGTTGGCCCTGGAGTGTGAAAGCTGGTAGACCTTAGAATGAGTTTTAATTTTTGTTTTTTCATTTTTCAAAGATAAGGACTCCTATAACTCAGGCTGGTCTCAAACTCACTGCATACCTGAAGATGGTCTTGAACTCCAGGTCCTCCTGCTTTGACTTTTGAAGTGCTGGGATGACAGGCTGCCCCACCATGCCTGGGTTATGTGGTGCCTGGGGTGGAAACCAGGGTTTTGTACATCATAGGCTAGCAGTCTACCAATCGAGCCACATTCCCAGCCCTCATAGATTGGGAACTGTGTCAAGGAATCCCCACAGCTGAAACCAAGGTAGACGGTGACCAAACAGGAAGAACTCTGCTGCTCCATTTCCTCATCAGATGGGTCCAGTAGCCCCTCTTAAGCAATGGACTTAAGACATCAAGAACAAGCTGTGTGTTATTCTACACACCTACCACTTGGAAGGGCAGGGCAGGAAAATCAGAAGTTGAAGGCTATCCTCAGATACATAGTGACTTTGAGACTAGCCTGAGCTACTTAAGACCTTGTCTCAACTAAACTTAGCAAAAGGCCAAGAACAATGTCTTGAGAAGGAGGAATACATGGTACCAAGGTTCAAATGGCACTGTAACTGTCTTCTAGAGAAGGCCAGTTGCATCAGTTCCTGGGCATCCACAGGAATTATGTTCTTTGTTCCAGGATACCCTGAAGAAACCCAAATGTACAGATGTTCAAGCCCTTATATAAAATGATGTAGTAGGCCTGGAAGTGAAGCATAGTGGGTAGAGTGTTAGGAATATTCCTAATTCCAGTCAGACCAAAGCAAACCAAATTAAAAGACATCCAAGTTTAATTGAACGTCTGCGCTCTCGGGTGGCCTGAGGTAGGGAATAGAAAGCCGACACAACCACTGGAGAAGAAGAGGGAAGACCACATGTTTATTTTCTGGAGAACAGTTTAAATAGCCTGTGAGAATGGTCTTGACCTTTCCTGGGGAGGGGTCAAGGTTTGACGGGCTCAGGGGAGGGGGTTTACAAAGATGGAGGCTGGAGGCTGGGATTACATTCCAGACTCTTTGTATAAGGGGTGACAGGAAGCTGAGGTGATACTTACGACCCACATAGAGAACTTGGCACATAGAGCCCTGGGTTCCATCCTCAGCACCACATAAACCAGGAGTGGTGATGTCCATCTGTCCTCCTAACGTGGGAAAGATAGAAGCAGAAGGTGCAGAAGCTCAAAGCCCTCTTTGAATTGGAGGCCAGCCTGTTCTATATGAGACTGTTTCAAGAAATAAGGAAGACTGTGAAAGCCATCTGGCTGTGACATCTGACACCCCCTTGATCCCAAGGTTGATTTGGATGATGTGACTGGCTAAGCAGGTTTCTCCTTCCCCCTTACCACTTCCTATGTGTCCCTTCCAAAGCTGCCCACTTGGTTGAGAAGGACTGTTTTTTTTATTGTTTGTTTGTTTGTTTGTTTGTTTTTTCCTTCCTTCCTTCTTTCCTTCCTTCTTCCCTTCCTTCCTTCCTTCCTTCCTTCCTTCCTTCCTTCCTTCCTTTCTTTCTTTCTTTCTTTCTTTCTTTCTTTCTTTTTGTCAAGGGTATATAGTAGCTGGGGCTTCCTGCTAGAACCTCCACACAAGCTCTCTAAACAAACAGAACTGGACAGATAGCTCAGTCAGTGTTTGCCTTATTCATGAGGGTGCCAGTTTGATTCCTAGAACCCCTAAAGAAAAGAACCAGGAGGTAGCTGGGCAGATAAACGTACCTCCCACAAAGCCCAGTGACCTGACTTTGATCCCAGAAATCACAGGGGAATGAAAGAAATGTACTCTGGTCACCCCACACACACACATACACACACACATGCTATGGCATCCAATGCCCAAATAAATATATTTTCTATTTTTTGAAAGTCAGATGTAGTATTATTTACTTGTAATCCCAGCATTGAAGAGGTGGAGATAGGTAGATAGATCTCTGAGGCTCACTGACCAGCCAACCTAGCCTACTTAGCAAGTTCAAGACTTAATGAGAGACCCTGCCTCAAAGAACAAGGTGAACAGTTCCTGAGGAAAAGCTTTTCCTTTGGCCCTCCTCTACACATGCACATGCATATATGTGTACACACGTGCGTGCGCACACACACACACACACATGAACACATGCATTTACACACATACATCCACACACAAGTAATAAGTAAAATATATAGTACTTATATATCTTCCTATTTGATTTAAATAATTCTACATTAATTATAATAAGACTATGTAAAGTTATACAAATTGTTAGGAATATTTCCTAACCAAGCCACTCTGCCAATGCAGAATAATCCCAATCAAACCAAATCAGACAAAATTAAAAGATATCCAGGTTTAATTAAACACCTGCACTCCTGGGTGGCCTGGAGGGGAACAGGAAGTCGCCAATGCAACCACCAGAGAAGAAAAGGGAAAACCACGTGTCTATTTTCTGGGGAACAATTTAAATAGCCTGTGGGAGTGGTCTTGACCTTTCCTGGGGAGGGGTCAAGGTTTGGCAGGCTACCTTGACCCTTCTTGGGGAGGGGTGAAGACTGTTTGCTAAGGTGATATTTATGACCAACATTTTAGGCTCTCTTTGGAAAAAGGGGCGTCAACTCAAGTCTGGCTACTTCCTGCAGGCATGGGGGCGACATGAGGGAGGGGAGAGCTGGGTGTTGGTGGGTTCACGCTCAGCGAAGGGTGTGGCTGGAGAGGCATCCTGTTTACTGTCATCCCAGAGACTCCAGGCATCTGTTTCTTGAGGGAGATAAGAAGACAGGTGTCTAGGAGAAAAATATTGTTATTACCTGTCTTGTTTGTATCACCAGAGATGAGTGTGACAGACCGAGAAGCAGGTAGGCCCTTCATGACATCTTGGAAAACCGGAGCCCGAGCTTCGCCAAAGAAATGGGGGCTGTCCCAAAAACCCTGTGGAAGAACAGTCCGTGTAAACTGTCTAGGAGTCAGGGTCCTCCCAGGTAAAGACAGAGAGGAAGTATGAGTCGGGGTGTAAAGGGACAGTTAAAGAAGGCATCTTTTAGGTCCAGAATGGTAAAGTAGAAGGTGGTAGGAAGGACGTTAGACAGATTATATGGGTTGTTCACCAGTGGGTGAACTGGAATGACTGCCGTATTTATGAGGTGGAGGTCTTGAACCAAGGGGTAAGCGTCAGAGGGCTTATGCACAGGAGGAATTGGACCGTTGCAAGGTGAGTCGACAAGAATCAGAAATCCTTGAGATAGGAGATGGGTGATAACAGGCTTAAGGCCTCGGTGGTGGGTTTTAGAAATAGGTAACTGGGGTCTGGAAGGGAAGGACAAAGGGTCTTTGAGGTGAACTAGGACTGGCCGGTGGTGATTAGCAACCACAGGTGGAGAGATACTTGGGGATCTACTGGATCAGGGAGAGTAGGGACAGAACAGTCTGGGGTAGGAACCTGTGAGGCCATTAAAGTGAGAAGAAAGTGTGACTCAGGAGAGTGGGGGGGAGGTGTGCAAAGTAAGTGTGGTGCAGGGCAAGCAGGTATCACAAGGAAAGAGTGAGAGAAAAATTGCCCTGCAAGAATGTAGGGCAGTGGCAAAGTTTTAAGTGGGGAGAAACGGATCCCGTCCACCCCCATAACTGAAATTGGTGAGGGGAACATAAGGCCCAAGTGAGATGTTAAAACAGAGTAGGTAGCTCCCATGTCCAAAAGAAAGGCAATGGACTCACCTGCTACCTGTAGCATTACCCTAGGCTCGCTTTGGGTTATGGGAGTCACCAAGTCTGGGCTGCATCAATCCTCTGTAAGGCCAAGAATTTCGAAGGCTGGCAACATCTCACTTGTTGATGTTGGTGAGGCTGGACTTCCGTGGTGTTGCATAGAGGACGAGCCCCCATGGGGGCATTGTGATTTCCAGTGTCCAGGTTGGGAGGCCCAGGGCAATATCGTGCCAAATGGCCACTTAAAACACCTTTGAAGCAGCCTACCAGCAAAGTTGACTTAAGCTGAACTCTGCTGGGATGGAGCCTTGCGGTTGACTTCCCCTATCCCCCTTCCGGGAGTCCTGGTGGCCTTAAGGCAGCTGCTAAGGCTTGGGCCTGGAGCGTTACTGCCTGTTACAGCTTTATCTGTCGGGAAGACTCAGCTTTCTCTTCTCAGACATTAAAAACTTTAAAGGCCATTTTCACCAACTCTTATATAGGAATTAACATTTCTCTAATATCTGGTGCTGACTGAGAAATAAAATGGGTAGCTAGGACCGTGGCTCCCGCTGGGGAGGCTAGATCCAGCCTTGTGTATTGGACTATGGTCTCTTGTAACCGATTTTAAAATATGGCTGGGTTTTCGTCAGCTAACTGTGTGATCTCTTGAAGTTTGCCAAAATTAATTACTTTTTCTGAGACCATTTCCATACCCTGAGGAGGCAACGAACCATGATGCCCTGCCTCTGTCAACCGCTTTGGCCAGGTTGGTAGTCCCAGTGTGATTCTGTGGCTGGCACAGCCACCTTCCCCACAGGGACCGTACAGATGAGTCTGGTCTGCATACTGCCTAGCTGCTGTCTAAATTCTACTTCGCTCCTCAGGAGAGTAGAAGTGTGAATGACATAGTAATCATGCCAGGTTAGATTGTAGACCTGGGACAGATAGTGAAACCCTTTAATATAAGCAGAAGGATTATCAGAAAAGGAACCCAGCCGCTTTTCTATCTGAGAAAGATCTGGAAGAGAAAAGGGAACATGAACTTTAATAATGCCATTGGCTCCCGCTACTTCCCAGAGAGGACAGAGAAGGGCAGGGTTATGGTGGGATCTGATATGGGAGGAGACAAGGGAGGATTGGGGGGAGTTAACCCATTGTGCAGAGGGGGTCCAAGGGTAGGAAGATGTGGTGGAGGAGGGGAGAAGGTGGGTAAGGGGAAAGTTGACCTTGGACTTCCGGTTTGGCTAGGGAGGGAGTAGGTGAGGGTGGGTGCGGAAAGGAATATGAAGAATTTTGCTCTACAGGAGGGTTGGGGATAGTGAGGGTTCCAGGGAGTGGGTGAGGGGCCGTGCCTCAGGATGCATGGTCAAGGCCTAGCTATCGGGATCCCAGTTACAAAATGACTGGGAATCTAGAGGCACCGTGAACCTAGCAACAAAAAACGGTGCTGCAAGACACTGGCTACTGAGGGAGGGGCAAGAATGCAGTGCCCAAAAATCGTGGACATTTGAGAGTTCTGTCCATTTGTCTCCACAGCAACAAAAATTTTCTAGGCCTCGGAGGACAGTAAATTCAAGGCTTCCCTCTAGTGGCCATCGCGTCCCATTGTCAAGATTGTATTGAGGCCAAATCTTAGTGTATAGAGAAATTAACAACCACTTGGAACAGATTGTGTCGGACAGATTTATAAATATTTTTTAAGAAGCATTCCAGGGGCGATAATGGATCTGGCTTTGAATTGCAAGCGCCCATTTTAAAAGTCTATGCCCAGTTGTGTGGCTCAAGTCTATCACAGTGCGTCCACTGAACTCTCAAACAGGGCTGTGAAAGAATGTCAGGCGTCCCTGTACAAACACAATTCACCTCAGCAAAAGTCTCAGCTTTCGCTGCATGGGTGAGGCTTTTGGCGCGGACTGCGTCTTCCACAAAAGCCCAAAAATCGAGAAAAGTAAACACAAACAGATCCCCCAAAACCCTAGTAGTATAGGCAAGAGAACAATACTCACTACCTCACTACGACGATGTTGATCTACGGGAGTCGATTTTAGCCTGGCAGAGAGCATGGGATGGGGGTGGGGAATAAGGGCGTTTCCAGAACATGGCCGTGGACCCGCGGGAAAAACAACCCCTTGGTGGGACCTCCAAGATTTTAGGAATATTTTCTAACCCAGCCACTCCGCCAACGCACAATAATCCTAATCAAACCAAATCAGACCAAATTAAATATATCCAAGTTTAATTAGACGCCTGTGCTCCCGGGTGACCCTGAGGGGAACGGGAAGCCACCAACACGATCACCCACCAGAGAGGAAAAGGGAAAACCACGTGTTTATTTTCTGGGGAGCTGTTTAAATTGCCTGTGAGAGTGGTCTTGACCTTTCCTGGGGAAGGGTCAAGGTTTGGCAGGCTATCTTGACCCTTCTCAGGGAGGGGTGAAGGTTCGAAGGGCACAAGGGAGAGTCCTTCAAAGTTGGAGTCTGGGGCTGGGATTACACAAATAGTTGTGCTGTGTTATTTAGGGAATAATGACATAAAATTACAAATAGATTTTCTTTCTAGAACTTAGGGCCTCATTTATGGTAGTTATTAACTCTACTACTGACCCGTACTCTAGCCCTTCACTAGGAGATTCTAGGGGCTCTACTGTCCGTGCCCAGCCCCTCACTGGGGATTCTGGGCAGGTGCTCTACCACTGAGCTCTACCCCTATCAATAGACACAATTTTTTTTTTATATTTGGACCATGTGGTAGTTTTATTTTATTATATTTTCTTTTTATTTATTCTTTTCTCACACAGTACTTCCCAACTGCATCCTTTCCTCCCTCCCTCCACCTCCCTTCTTCCCAGATCCACTTCTCCTCCTCTTCCCTTCAGAAAAGAGCAGACCTCCCAGGGACACCAACCAAACACAGCATTACAAGCTACAGTAAGACCAGGCACATATAAAGGCTGGAGGCAATTGTTTCAAATATTTTCATCCCGTGGTTAGTTGGCTTGATAGATATGGGACCTGCAGGTAGGGAGGACAAATGCAAACCATTCTCAGGGAAGCTAAGCCTTTCTCTTTAGAATTACCACCCCTGTCCTCACACCCTTTCTCTTTCCATGCCTTCTGCAGACAGGCAAGACCTGGATCTCCAGTGGCTGCACCCAGAACTGTACCTGCATGGATGGGGTTGTTCAGTGCCGGAACTTCATCTGCCCCACAGGGTCCCACTGCCAGCACAGTAATGATGGCAGCAGTAACTGTGCGGCCAACAGTAAGGGAGCTGTGGGGGAGGGGGAACGGAGAGGAGTCCTGATGGGGAGCCTTGGGGGAGGGGGAGGGGAGAAGAGCTCTGATGGGGAGCTGTGGGGGAGGGGAGTGAAGAGGAGCCCTGGGGGGGCGCCATGGGGGCGGGGCGCGGAGCTCTGGTGGGGAGCCGTGGGGGAGGGGAGAGGAGCCGTGGTGACTGAAAGAATCAGAGGCAGGGCCCCTGGTCTAAGAGGGAGGGTGGTCAGAAATACCACAGTTAGGAAGAAAGTCTGGGAGACCAGTAGCTGGGCTGAGGTCCTTTCCAGTTTGCAAATTTCTTGACAGAATTGGAAAAATGTACCATCCTTGGGGATCCCTATTACCACACTTTCGATGACTTCTCCTACCGCTTCCTGGGTCGGATGAACTACTATCTCATAAAGACAATAGACAAACTCCCAGGGGGGATCGAGCACCTGGTCATAGAGGGGCGCAACAAAATATCCCCCAAAGGGAGTCCAACCTTGCATGAAGTGACCACCATCGTCTACGGTGATAAAATACAGCTTCAAGAAGGGCTGGTGGCTTTGGTGAGTAAAGGGGCAGGATCAGACATGAAGGGAACCAGGAGACCACTGTAGGCCGTCTGTGGTTAGCAAAACCAGAGTGCCCCATTGTCAGGGAATTTCCAGGGGTGCAGACTGCTCTTAGAAGTCAGAGTTGATGCCACTTCCTGGAGAAAGGTGGCACAGGGCAGTAGGACTGAAAAAGGGCTGAGGAGGATGAAGGGAGTGACTGGGCAGAAGGAAGGACGGCATGCATGTGGTAATGGAGCTGGAGCAGCCTCTGTGCTAGCTAGAAAAGCAGCATTCCTTTACACTTATTTCAATTTTAAATATTTACTTATTTATTTATCATTTATTTATTTATGTGTGTCTATGTAAGTATATCCCACATATGTATGACTGCCCACAGAGGCCAGGTGTCGTGAACCCTGGACCTAGAGTTATAGGTAGTTATGAACAGTCCAACAAGGATTCTGGGAACCAAATACAGGTCCTCTGGAGACACAGCAACCACTGTCAACCTATGGGTCATCTCTCTGTCACACTTTCTTATTTATTGTACGTGTGTGTGCATGTCGTGCTGTGTGCATGTGTGGAGGTCAGAAGACAGCTTGGAGGAGTCTGTTCTCTGCGTCCACCGTGTGGGTCCTGGAAGTCAACCTCAGGTCCTCCAGATCAGTAGCAAGTGCCTCTACCCACTGAGCCATCTCTCTTTCTGAGTGTTTGCAAGGAAGGAACTGGGGTATAAAGGGAGGTCTCTGACACTGGGGGTAATGAAAACTCTAGCGAGCTGGGCAAAGCCAGGCACAGACAACAGCAGCAGTGAGTGTGGCCTACTTAGCATGCTGTGCAGCTGCAGTCTTCCATTTCAAGGTCAACAATCAAAAGGTGGCAATCCCCTACAATCCAAATGACCACCTGCGGGTCCTCCTGCGGGCACAGCGGCTGTTTCTCATCACTGACTTTGAAATGGTGGTGGACTACGATGGGAAGCACAGTGCAGGTAACTGGGGCACAGACACAGACCGCAGAGCACCTATCTCTGAACCAGGCATGCTCGCTCACACACGTAATCCCAACCCTCGGGAGCCAAAGGCAGAAGGATCTCCAGTGAGTTTGGGCACATTGTGGTATACATCGTGAATTCCAGTCTATCCAGGGCTTATAGTGCAATACTGTCTCAAAGAAATCCAGTAAAGCAGTGGTGACATACACCTTTAATCCCAACACTTAGGAGGCAGAGGCAGGTGGATCTCTGTGAGTTTGAGGTCAGCCTGGTCTACAGAGCGAGTTCCAGGACAGTCAAGGCTGTTACACAGAGAAACCATGTCTCGAAAAAGGAAAAAGGAAAAAAAGAACCCAATCAAACCCTAACCAAGAAACTGACAGTGCAGGTGTGGAGGAGCTGGCCTCAGCTACACAGCTGGAGCACACCTGTAGTCTCTGCAGTTGGAAGGTGGATGCGGGAGGGTCAGGAGTGTGAAGCTAGCCTCAGCTACATACCCTGTTTGAGTCCAGCTTGGGCTATCTGAGACACTGTCTCAAAAATGAAAACAGTGACAATAAAGCCAATAACCACAGAAAATAGGAACCCCATCTGTGATGAAAAGATACAGCTCAGACAGGTCAGAGGAAGATGTGTTTGTTATACCTGGGAATAGAGCCCCCAGCCTGAAAGGGAGACTCAGATTGTGGAGGGGAGAACAGACTTTGGCTCACTACTTTGTCCTGCAGTGATCTCCTTGCCTACCATGTACCGTGGGCTGATACGGGGCCTGTGTGGAAACTATGATAAGGACCGAACCAATGACTTGATGTTGCCCAGTGGAACACTCACCTCAAACCTCAATGTCTTTGGCAACAGTTGGGAGGTGAAGATGATGAATGCCCTCTTCCGATTGCCAAGGTGAGGGCTGAGGATTGGGAGATGACTTAGAGTTTCTTTCACTGGAGGTGGTAGAAGATTGAACCTGTGAGCTTGTGCACTAATCTGAGCCACACTCCTTGCCCTTTACTGAGAATCAAAGTCAAGTACTCTTTTTACTGAGTCATACCCAGCCCCTCACTGGGAGATTCTCTTCAGGAGTTGGGTATCTCCTACCCAGCAAGTCTCTTTTTCCACTGCCTTGACCCTCTGGTCCTCAACACGGACGTACCTTCTGTCACTCGGTCTCTTACTGACCAGTGGAAACAGCTGATCATTGGAAATCCCCATGTGCCCTTGTCCTTCCCTTCACTTTTCTGCACACTTGTTTTTGTTTTGTTTTGTTTTCCCTCAAATTCACCTCCCTCCCAAACCTCACACAGCCCCTTGCCATCCCTACTTCAGGTCCCTGCCAGAAGAAGATGGGGAAGAGGAAGAGTCTGACCCTCTGCCGTCAGAGTGCAGCCCAGAGCAGATAGCGTTCCTCAGCAGCACCCAGGCCTGTAGGGTGGTGGTGGACCCCCAGGGTCCCTTTGCTGCCTGTCACCAGATTGTAGCCCCAGAGCCCTTCGAGCAGTGAGTCACAGGCCCAGTACTCACAAGAATGTTCCAGATTCCTGCTGTGGTTTTCCTCTCTGACCCCCTCTAGCTCTGTGGACTTGGTTCTTCTCCCTTGTGACCCCATTTCCTACTGACTCCCCCCATTCTACATCCTGTTTTTCTGCAATCCAATGCCTTTATCCCCAAGCTATCCCTCTAGCCTGCTGACTTTCTGTGTGGGGTTCTGGGCCTCTCTTCTCTATTTTATTTTTAATCTATTTTATCCTGTATTTATTTAGGTCTCGTGTAGCCCAGGCTAATATATGCCTAAGGATGACCTTGAATTTCTGATCCTTCTGCCTCCACCTCCCAAGTGCTGAGATTACAGGCGTGGACCACCATGCCTTGCTTTTGTGGTACAGGGGATGGAACCCAGGGCTTCATGCATGTCAAGCAAACACTACCAACTCGGCCGCATCCTCAGCTTTTGCTTATTATCTATTTGGGGGGATTTGCGAGGGGAATGAGCACGTACTTGTTTGTTCAGTGTATGTGCCATGTATGTTTACATAGGTCAGAGATCAACTTCAGGGGCCATCCACCTTGGTTTTTATTTTTTCCTTTCTTTCCTTTTGTGTGAGTGTGGGTGTGGATATGTGTTGTTGGGTCATCAAGAGTTAAAGTCAGGTGTCCTGCTTTCTCTCTTTGCTGTATTCCATTGAGACAGGGGCTCACACCCAACCTGCAGCTCACTATTTTTTTTTTTTTTTTTTTTTTTTGGCTAGACTGTGAGAGAGTGAGCCCCATTGATCCTTTTGTTTTTACTCCTTGATAAAGCTGGGATTACTGGCATGTGTGGGGGTTTGAACTCGGTTCCTCATGCTTGAACAGCAGGTACTTTTTCGTAGTGGCATCTCTCCCCAGCTTCCACCTTGTTTTGAGACAAGTCTCTAACTTGAGCCTAAGCTTACTGATTAGGCTAAGATGGCTGGCCGGTGAGCCTCAGGGACCCTTCTGTTTCCCCTTCACCAGCACTGGAATTACAAGCATATCATCACACCCTACTTGTTTTTAGCATGGATACTGGGAATCAAACAGGCCCTTCCTTATTCTTGCAAGGCAAGCACTTGGTCAACTGAGCCATGTCCCCAGCCCCCAGCCCCTCGCCTGGGCCCTTTTTCTGCAAGGCTGGCTCTCCTTGCTCCCCCTCTCTAAAGCACACCTACTCCACCCTTCCCCTTCTACTTCAGGCACTGTATGTCCGACATGTGCACTGGTTGGAAAACCAAGGAAGAAGAGGAGTTTCGATGCCGGGTCCTCAGTGGATATGCAATCATTTGCCAGGAGGCAGGTGCCAACACGACTGGCTGGCGGGACCAGACACACTGTGGTGAGGCTCTGTTTCTGCCCAGCAGCTGGCTCTGACTCCTCAGTCATTCTGCTGTCTGCTCAGCTCTGCTTCTGCCAGCACGCTCACCATGCCCTTTCGGCCTTGACTCTTCTATCCCTAGTTCAAGGCAGCCAGTGATGCCAGACTGACCCCTGACCCCTCTCCCATCCACTCCTCCGCTGTCCAATCCCCTCCTCCTCCTCCTCTCTGCCCATTTTTTCTGTTGTGTTTTTTCTTTTATTTTTTTGTATGTTTATATATGTGTGTGTGTCCATGTGTGTTTGCATGCATGCAGACATATGTGTGGAGACCAGAGAACAGGAGTCATTTACTTTGTTCTTTTGTTTGTTTGGTGTGGGGCAGTTACATTTCTTTATTTTGTGTGTATGTGTGGGTGCACATGTTCCACAGCACACCTGTGAAGGTCAGAAGACAGAAGACAACTTCCACCATGTGGGAGGGATCCAGTCAGGTCACCTTCACCCGCTAAACCATCTCAACTAGCCCCACCTTGTTTTCTCTCTCTCTCTCTCTCTCTCTCTCTCTCTCTCCCCCCCCCCCCCGCCCCCCACGCCTGGTGATTAGGTAGTACTGACTGACTATCAACCCCCAGGTCTCCTCAGGTCTCCCACACCTGGCCTGAGCAGAAGCGCTATCCCTCATTGTGTATGCTTTGGGATGGATTTATTTTAAGACTTTGCTGATTTTTATTTGATTTATGAGTGCTTTGCCTGCATGCGTTCTGTGCACTGCATGCACCCTGGGGCCCACAGAGGTTGGAGGAGGTGTCAGAGCCTCTGGAGCTGGAGTCACAGGTGGTCATAAACTGCCATGTGGGCGCTGGGAGCAGAACCAGGATCCTCTGCAGGACCCAGCTCCTAACTGCTGAGTTCCTTCTCCAGCTCCAAGAACAAAATCTCACTTGATAGCCCAAGCTGGCTTCAAACTCCTGGTGCTCCTTCCGGATCAGCTCTTGAGTGCTGGGATTATGTGCTACTCTACCCACCCTACCATGTCCATCTGTTTCCATCAAACGTCTTATGTTCCAGACAACACTTGAGGCGGAACTGGCCTGCTCGCCCTAGCTTCCCTGTGTACAGGGAGCCCTGTGTTCTGTTGAATGACCGTATACCCTGCTTTCCGTTTCTTACTCACCAGTCCCAAGGCCAGCCAGCTCCTAACCATGCTTCTATCCCCTCAGCCATGACATGCCCTGCCAATACTGTGTACCAGCCCTGTATGACGCCCTGCCCAGCATCCTGTGCCAAATTTGTGACCCCCAAGGCCTGTGAAGGCCCCTGCGTGGAAGGCTGTGCCACCATCCCAGGCTACATCTACAGTGATACCCAGAGCCTCCCAGTGGCACAGTGCGGCTGCACCACCAATGGCATCTATTACAAGGTCTGGGCAGCGGAGGCCTGGGAATCCAGGTGTGGAGAATGAGATCTAGGGTGAATTTAGAATGTCTGCTGCCTTCACTTCCTCTTTTCCAGCTGGGTGACAGCTATGTGACTGATGACTGCTCCCAGCATTGCACCTGCGCCAGCCAGGGGACCCTGCTGTGTGAGCCCTATGGCTGCAGGGTTGGAGAGGCCTGCACCGTGGCCAACTTTACTCGAGGCTGCTTCCGGGGTAAGCCTGGGCCCTTGTGGTCTCTTAACACCAGGCGTACCCTTCCTCCCTGAGTCAGACTCCTGCCCGAGTGGGATTCCTGCTTGGTCTCAGGAGGTCTGGAAAGCACAACACCCCACTTTATGAGCAATGAAAATAGGGTTCCAGCCAGGTACAGTGGCGCACGCCTTTAATCCCAGCACTCAGGAGGCAGAGGCAGGCGGATCTCTGTGAGCTCAAAGCCAGCCTGGTCTACAGAGTGAGTTCAAGGACAGGCTTTAAAGCTACAGAGAGACCCTGTCTTGAGAGCAAGTGGATGAGAGCTGAGGAATGGTACCTGAAGTTGACCTCTGGACCTTCACATACACACACGTGGGGGTTCAGGAGGCTAAGCAAATTCCCTGAACCCAGGGTAGCAGGGTTAAAACTTAGATTGCTGAGTGGACCCCAGGGCAGCTTTGGTGACTGCTGCTTTCTCCCGGGGCCCACAGCCAGGCATCTCCTACACTGTGAATATCCTATTGGGATCCACTCACACCCTTCTGCCCTTGTAGATAGTCCTTGTCTACAGAACCCCTGTCGCAATGATGGCCGGTGTCAGGAGCAAGGGGACACCTTCATCTGCCATTGTGACCTCGGTTATGGAGGAGAATTCTGCACAGAACCTCGGGATATCCCATCCAGAAAAAAGCTAGGTAACAACCACACCCCAGGCCTGTGTCCCACTGGCCATTGCCACAGAATTACTGTTTTTAATTTTCATATACATTGTATCTATTATATATTACTCTGTTTTAGTTTTCATGTATCTTATAATATATAGTATTTAATTTTAATTAATTTTAATTTAATTTTCTTACAATTGTAATATCTGTTATATATACAGATATGTGATAGGGTGACAATGATAGGTATACTATACAATATTATTAATCTATCACAAACTATTACATATAGTATAATAAGTAATATAGCATAGGCAATATTGTGTATTATATACTATAGGTAATATTTGAAATACATAATTACTTATCACATATAGTTTATAATTATATATAAATATTTTGGGTTCATTGTATATTAATATACTTTAAATGTACAATATAAGTTACATTGTGCTATATATTTTTATATGTGGAAAATATGTATATTTCTTATAAATAAATAACAAATATATATGGAAAGTCAAAAGGTGATGGAGAGGTACTGAACAGGAATAGCCAGAGTGAAGCTAACAGGAGAGGGGTGGGAGTTCAGCCAGGTGTGTGCTAATAATCCTAGTACATGGGAGGTGGGAGTAGGAGGGTCAGAACAAGTTCAAGGTCATTTTCAACAAAATAGTGAGTTCAAGGCCAGTCAGGGCTACATGACATCATGCTGCAAACAAATTAATAAAACAAGCAAATAAACAAGAAGTGGGGGGCTGAGGAGGTAACACAGTTACTTGTTCTGAAAGAACAAGGACCTAACTTTGATCCCCAGAACCACACGAAAATCTGGGTGTACACTGCAATCCTAGTGCTGGGGAAGGAGGAGTGTGCTTGAAGAATATCACCAGGGGGTGTCCTTTGGCCTCCACATGTGTGTATAAACACATGAATAGACATCTGCTCCTTTACACACACACACACACACACACACACACACACACAGAGTGCTAGGGTTCAGAGAGAAGATTCTAGCACATTCCACTAGGATATGAGCAAAAGACAGGTTGAGGACTAATTGTCTTGCTGATTCCTGGGGATCACACAATGACATGATCCTCATTATTTTTCATATGTAATATATTATGTTGTGTGTAATATATATTTTAGGGTTCTTTTCTGAGATAGGGTTTCATATAACCACGATGGCCTCAAACTCACTATATAACTGAGGGTGACCTTGAACTCCTGATCTTCGTCTTCACCTCCAGCTTGCTAGGATTACAGGCCTGTGCCACATGCCTGACGAGCATACACATGTTATATAGTGTGTAGTACACGAGCTGGCAGGACAGCTGAGTAACCAGGCCTAGAGACCTGAGTTGGGTTCCAGGGTTTCACATAGGCAAAGGAGATAGATGACTTTCTTGGGTTGTCCTCTGACACCCACACATTCATCCCACCACAACAAACAAATATAACCCCACAAATATATAGAATACAGTATTATATGGATTATATAATTGATAGTATATGACTGATGTTTTATTGGGAGGGCATAACTTATTTAACACGTTCATATCAGAATTCCCCCCAAGAGGTTCAGGACTGGTGGGCATAGACGCCTGCTTCCTAACAAGATTCTAGGTTGGAAGCATTCATAGGGCTGGAAAATCATGACAGAGAACTGGAGTCTGTGGCTCAGTTCCTTACCTAGCACACATGAAGTCCTATGTCCAATCCCCAGCATGGCATAAACCTGGTATGACGGTGCATTACTGTGGGAGCTCCTTCAGCCAATAGCCTTTAATCATAGCACTTCAAGAGGATGAGGCAGGGGAATAGAGAGTTTCAGGCCAGCCTGGATTACATGGACTGTGTTACAGGGGAAAAGAAAAAAAGAAAGGTGGCAATGAGGCAGGAGGATCACCTTGAGTTCGAGGTCAGTCTGCCTGAACTACCTAGTGAGTTCCAGGACAGCCTAGGCTAGAGTAAGGCCCTATCTCAAAAGATGGGGTTGGGGGCAGGGAGGGAGGGAGGCCCAGATGGCACCTGGCATATGAACAGCCTCGTACAGTCTTAGGGAGTTGTGACTGCAGATAATAAGGGCTACTGGACGAGGGCATTCGAAGAGTCTCTGAGCCTCTTGGAGGAAGAACTAGACATCAAGAGATTTAGGAGGACAAGATACCTTAGGCTGACAGCTAAGGACCTGAAGGCAGTGCTCCCTCCCATTTCCCTCAGCCTCCCACCCTTTCACCTGTCCCTGTCGTGGGGGAGGGTGTGAATATGCACAGGCACAGTCTGCACAGGAGGCCAGAGGACAACCTGGGTGTGGCTGTTCAGATGTCTCCCACCTCTCAGTTAAGACAGGGGCTCTGGGGCCTAGCGAAATGGCTCAGTGAGTCAACGTGGCTGTCTCCAATTTGCCTCCTGAATTTGATCCCTGGGTTTCAGATGGTAATAGAGAATTAATCCTGCAGGTTGTCCTCTGACCTCCACAAGTGCATGCACACACGCATGCACGCACGCATGCACACACACACACACACACACACACACACACACACGCACACGGTCTCACTGGCCTGAAACTGAACCAGTGTCCAGGAATTCACTTGTCTTCACCCACTAGGGCTAGGATTAGGGAGGCCTCTTGCTATGGCTGGGAAGGCAGGCATGAGCCACCACATCGACTTCTACGTGGGCTCCAGGGTTCTGAGCTTGTAAGGTAAGCACTCTACCCACTGAGCCCACTCCCAGCCCCATTGCTATTTCTTTTCTGCACTCAGAATCATCCAGCTTACTGGCCATCCTGCCGGGAGTGCTTGTGATGCTGTTAGTCCCTGTCTTACTGCTTAGAGTGTATATTTACCTGAGAACTGCCATAGCAAGGAGGAGGAGGTAAGTCCTGGTACAGGGAGTGAATGGGCAGTTGGAGGGTGGAGCCTAGTGCACACAAAAGCTGTGCTCCTCATCTGTCCCCCACTACCTCTAGGGAGAAACTGTTGAGACGAAATAGACATAGGCTGGAGGATACAGGTAAGAACCAGCTCTGGGGGCGTCAAGTCCTGGCCAAGAGGTGAGTCCTCCTCCAATGTGGGTTTCCTTGCTCTCTCCTCAGATGTTCCAGAGCCTGCCTTCAAAGCCACCAAGTTCTGACTTGTCCTCAAACAAACAGATGAAAATAATTTATTTTTTTAAATATTTTTTTACATTTGTTATTGTGTGGCTTTGTGTTATGTGTGTGTGTGGGGGGGTACACATGGCTGCCACTCTCAAGTCTGGAAATTTGTGGGAATCAGTTCTCTCCTTTTACTTTGTGGGATGTAGGGATTGAGCCTGGGTCACCACACTTCACAGTGAATGCCTTCTCCACTGAGATACCTCGCTATTTATTTATTTACTTACTTATTTACTTACTTCATGCTCTAGCAATGCTGAAGCATCATGCATGGACAGCCCATATATGGAGGTTCTATTGAATTTGTCCATATTGGGTTTCATGGTCTAAATTTATGAGGATGATTGACCAGGTCTCTTTCTCAAGAAGGCACCAAATCTCATTACAGACAGTTGTGAGCCACCATGGGGTTGCTGGGGAATTGAAATTGGGACTTTTGAAAGAGCAGGCAATGCTCTTAAGCACTGTGCCATCTCTCCATACTTAATGCTTTTAGATGTGGATTTTCCCTGTTGTGGTGGAGGCAGTTAGTCTGGGAGACAAAGAGGTGTGTGTGGGTTCCTGGAGGCTGGATACCGTGCAAGGGGAGGGAATGTCCATGGGGAGAGAGGCTTAGGGCTCAGGAAGGAGAATGTCACTCACTGAAAACCAGCGGCGAGCCACTCAGTCCTGATAACCAGCAAAGGAAGACAGAAGGGACAGGGACGGAAACTCCTAGAAGGAAGGCTGAACTGTGGCCCCAGAGCCCTGCAAGTCAGGAGAAAAGGCTTCCCGTGCACATCCTTTGTTTATTTGTTTGTTTGTTTTTTAGGACAAATTATTATGTAACTGAGGATGACTTTGGACTTCTGAATCCCCTGCCTCCACCTGTTGAGATTACAGGCATATGTCACTATACCTAGTTTGTGCTGGCGCTGGAGCCCAGGGTTCTATGAATGCTAGGCAAGCACTCCGCACCTGAGCCATTTCCCCAGTGCTCTTCGTACATTTTCTTTACCCCAGAGATTCCCGTTTTAAAAAACATATGTGTGAGTGTGTGCACATATGTGTCCGTATGTGTACAGGTGCTGTTGTGTGACACCATTCCTGTAAAGATATGAACAGACATCTGCTTATCCCAGACAGGGAACCAACAATGAACCAAAGTGGCAACACCGCTCAAGTCCAGCGTGGTGAACTGATGAGTGTCGGTGAGCAGTCACAGCAGCAGAAATGACTCGGAGGCAGCTGTGCCGGCTCATGGAAGCTGGAGACCTGGTGCTCGCTGCACGACTTGCAGGCAGCCTGACAGATTGGAGGGCATCCCCAGCAGTCCTTACTGCTGATATAGGCTGGGCCGAGAGGGGCCTAGTGTGTCTGCTCAGCTCAAGGGACGTCCTGAATTGTTTACTTCCTGAACCTGCAGGAGCTTCCCTTTGAACACCCCAAGTCAGAACTTTGCTCTATTCGTTGTATGTGTGTGCATGTAGGAGAGAATGTCTGCCAGATGTGTGCAGATGCTCATAAAGCCAGAACCTGAGGACACTGAGCTCTTTGGAACTGGAGTCACAGGCGGTTCTAAGCCAGCTGGTGTGGGTGCTGGGAACCAAACTCAGGTCCTCTGGAAGAGCAGCAAGTGCTTTTAAGCATGGAGCCATCTCTTCAGTCCAACATCCTGACCTAGGAGGAAACCGTCTCCCAGCAGCTGCACACTTCACGATGTAGTGGGCAGAGGACAGCCCTGCTGTCATTCCTCAGGCCCCTTCCACCTTTTCTGGTGGAAGACAGGGTCTCTCATTAGACTTTGCCCAGCAGCTAGGCTGGCTGGCCAGCCAGCTTCCACATATCCATCTATCTTTCCGGGCCGGTCCCCACTGCTGTTCTACAGTGCGTACCGCTACATCGGGCCATGGGAATAAATGGGCAACAAACACTTCACCGAGCCCTCTCCCTAGCACCCAGTGGGTTTTCTTTGTTCTGATGCTCACACATACGTGTAGAGGTCAGAAGACAGTAGAAGGGGTCAGTTTTCTTTTTACCTAGGCGCCAACCTCAAGTTCGGCAGCAAGCACCTTTACCAGCTGAGCCACGTCACTGCTATGCCCCTACCCCAAGCTATTTTTCTTAAGGTGGCTTCAGACTTCCTCTATAACCCTAGCTGGCCTTGCACTCATTGTGCTCAGTGTCTTCCTATTTCAGGCTCCTGAGTCTAGGGACTCCATAGGTCTAAGAGCCCAGGTTCATAGAGGACTTGACCTGAGTTCCTCCACTAGGGGGAAGCAAGGCTATTCAGGGTTTTGTTTCTAATTGGCCTCCTCCCGGGTGTCACACCCTCTTCATTCCTCTTTCTCCAAAGAGCCCTTCAGTTGGTTACCATGGAAACTGTGGGTGGAGTTACAGGCTTTGGGAGCCCTTCTGACAACCCAAGTAGGAAGGACCACCACCTAGCCCAGCCAGAGAAGGCCAAGGTGTATGTATACTTTACACCCTGAGAGTCTGTCTTCTTCTAGGTTACTCCTTGCTTAGGCGAAACCTAGTGGTGGATCAGACTGTAGGACCTCAAGAAACTGGGACTTAGCAGGTTGACACAGGCCCTGGGGAGATATGATTAATTCGTCTGTGTGACAACCAGACCTTTGGGGACCTTTCCTGAAGCCAGCCAAACCCAATCAAAGTATTGAAAGGGCTGGGCAAGGGGGGCCCTGTATGTTTTCCTTCCTCTTACTCAGGAAGGCACAGTGCACCTCTGTAGAGCAGCCTCCTGCCTTGAGCCCAGTTTCTCCACCTGGCCGCCATCTTTACAGCTCCGTTCCTTTGGCCTTCATCTTCATTCTTGCCCAGGGTGTATGTGGGGCATCAAAAGGCAGTAGGCTGGACTGGTGCCCCAGGACACTCCCCTTCCTTGTAGTATTGAGCCCCTCCCACCCTCCAGGGATATTAAATGTCACCCAGGAAGAGAGGAGACAAAGAACTTAGTGTGACTTCGTGCCTATAATATTAGCACTCCAGAGGCTGAGGCAGGAGGATAGTGAGTTCCAGGCTCTATATAGCAAGCCCTGGTCACAAAATATGTGTGTGTGTGTGGGGGGGGAGCTAGTTTAGTCAATAGGCGAACACTAGGATCAGGAGTCTGTCTGCAGTGGAGGAGGGGGCTACGCAACAGGAGTGGCAGTGTGGGCTTACCATTCTAGAACTGTGGATGGAACTGCTGGTCACCCAGCCTAGCCCGCTTGGCTAGTATACTGTTCCAGGTCAGCGAAGAGACCCCATCTGTCTGTCTCTCAATTTCACACATACAGCCAAGGAACTAACGAGATGGCTCAGTGGTGGTGAAGAGTCCTTGCTGCTCTTACAGAGGACCAGAGTTAAGTTCCAACACCTATGTCTCAACGGCCTGGAACTCCAGCTCCAGGAGATCTGGCATACTCTTTCTGGCTTCTGTGGACACCTACATCCACATGGACATAACCCCTCAACAGAGGTGAACACACACGCACACATACATGTTAGGGGCTTCACAAAGGCTCACAACATGGGAAATCATAGACAGGAACACTGCCTTGGAATGCTGTGCTGTGAGGCTGTGCCTCCCTCCACAGCAGAGAGCAGCTGTGGCAAAGGTTACAGCAAGGGGAAGGCAGAAGAGGCAGCTGAGAAGACACTACAAGGGGAGTGTGGAAGCTGCGATGGGGTATGGCTCTCCTCCTCTTCCTGTCTGGGAGGGAGCAGTTAGCAGACACACTAGAGCAGCTCCCCCTCCTCTTCCCAGGAGGCCAGGAAAACCTGCCTGGGCAGCATCCTGAATGGGGGAATTGTCCTGAGAGCTCCCTGGCATCTGTACACACATGTGAGGGCCCCCCTTTCAGCCACTCCCCATCTTTCCCTTCCCCCACAGCCCAGGTCAGCTCTCCCATTACCACTAAACCAACCACAGCTGTGGATGGACATCTGGCCCCAGCTGTGGACACCTCGCTGGACCTCCCTCTCTCACCTGTGCCCCCCCTTCCTTTTGCCAGAGCTGGAGAGGACTGTGGGCTATAGACTGGGGCTTCCCTCATACAGCCCCTGCCAAGGCAAATGAGACAGAGGGGGGGAGCAGGAGATGGCAGCCCCACCCCGGAGGTGCCTGAGGCTCTTGGCAGGGGCAGCTGGAGCAGTTAGCACCAGCTGCCAGTGACTCACCTCCCACCAACCCAAACATAACACCCTGGTTGGGAACCAACACTCAGCCCCTCCCCTCACCTGACCCTCCAAATCCAGACCCTAGGGGTCCCCTATTCTCAGAGACCTAACCTATCCCAGCTCCCAATCACCCTCAGTACTGGGACATATCCCATTTTCTTTTATTTATACAAAAATTTTCTTTTTAAATATAATTTAAGAACCCCCTTCCAAGCACCGCAGCCGTCTGCCTCTGTTGAACAGTCCCCTTCACCACCTCCCTCCCTCCCCTCCACTCATGGACACAGCTTGAGGGTGCTGGGGGGAGGGAAGGGGAAAGGACCTGTCTGGGGCTGTGGCATTTTCAAGGCACTGTTCTAGAACATATCAATGGGTCCTTGTTCCCAACAGGAGGGTGGAAACAGGTACCCGTCAACACACAAAATCTGGACAAAGGGGAGAAAAAGGAGGAGAAATAACAAAATAAAAACAGTAAAAATCCAGAACCTTCAATATGAAGGCAGATGATGGGAGGGGCATTCACAAGGGGAAAATGATTGCCTTTGGTGGTGACAGCAGCAAGTTGGGACATCAAAATCCAATGATTACATCACTGGGTCTTGACAGCCCCTTCCTGCCTCCTGGGACATTCTCCACTCCCAAGTTGGCAGGCTGGTCACCCTTTCTCTTTGGTCTGCAGGAACTTGCCCACTGAAGTGGAAGGCACTTGGGGAGTGAGCCCTCTGGGAAGATGGAAGATTAGGGATTTTTTCTTTGCCCAGGCTTGAGGGAAAGACTCACTCTGAGTTTGGGGTTCCCCGCCTGGAGGGCACAGATAATTCTTACCATCCCATATGGCACAGCTCCCCAAATCCTGGGTCTCAAAGATTACCAACTCCCAACCCCCTCAGTTCAAAGTGCAATCCAATAGGAGGCTGTGATGGGGGGGAGAGGGGTATCTCTATGAGTCCCCATGCAGCTCTGCCCCGGAAAGAAGGGGAGGCCATGTCTCTGGCGTGGTGAGGCCTTGGAGGTCAGAACTGCTGGGCTGGTCCTCCTGTGCCACCAGGGGCTCCTGGCTTAGCTTGGGACTTCATATGCTGCACACTGGCCAAGATTTTCTTCTGGTGTCCCGCTAGAGTGACTCCAATACGGAGAAGGTCCCTGTAGAAAAACAGAAGGCCGGCTGAGATTAGGGACCAGCCAATCAGGAAGCCCATAGGGTGGTGATGTCAGGAGCTGCTAGGCAGAATTTAGGCACCAAGCCTCTACTTCACAGATGCCAAAGAGGACAGAAAGAGAAAAGCCTCAGAGAAGTTAGGGGAAAGAGGCTTCAGAAACTGCTTTAGAAGAGAAAGAAATAAGGAAAGGGGCCAACAGAAAAAGAACTAGGGCATCAAGGGTGGCGGGGGCTTTGGCTCAAGGAAGATGTTAAGGAGAGATGGGGACCTGGCCTGGGCATCTTCTGAAAGTTTTTTTTTTTTAATTTTACATATTATTTTATTTGGTAAATTGAGGATAAGGTATTGATATGTAGGCCATAATAGCCTCAAATGAAAAATCCTCCTGCCTCAGCCTCCCAAGGAGCTGGGAGAACAGTGCTATACCAGTATGCCACCACCTCCTGCCTACATAAGTCTATGCCTCCGCCCCCCCCCCCCCGCCCCCCGCCATCCAAAGCTGGAGTAAGCGAAGGCCTTGGGAGAGAATCAGAGACGGGAGAAAGGAGGCATTCCAAGTACAGACAGGCAAGAGAACAGTTATTTGGGAGTTGATAGAATCATAAAACCATTTAAGATCAAAGCTGGGAAGGGATTTCCAGATCTCAGTCCCGTCTTCTCCTTTTATGGGTGGGAAAAGAGAACCAGGGTTGACACATTAATGTGAGAGCCTGGTTTGGAATGTAGATAGAAGCACAAAGATAGATACAGGCTGGGAATGGGAAGAGAGATGGCTCAGGGCTGAGAAGGCCCCAGAATGAACACCAGCAGGGCTTTGCTATCTGGGAGAATCTGGAGTCTCAACATCAGTCATGATTTGTTTGGTGTGTAGCCCTGGGCATGGTGCTGGACCACCAATCTAACACTTGGTCCCTGAGGCTGGACCCAGAGGCCCCTGTTGAACCTGAGGGTCTGCTTCAGCCTCCTGGACCCAGTGTCCCCAGGCACCATCTGAGTGCTGCGCCCAGCACTTACTCTGCAGAGATCTGGCTGACCACCTCAAAGGAGCCGAACCCAGCTGCTGCAAAACTTTCCTCGTATCTTCCCATCTTGATGGCTCGAAGCCACTCACCCACAGAGCCAAAGGCAGAGTAGTGAGGCTGCCGTTGGTCCAGGAGTGGATGTGAGGCCCTGGGGGTGGGGAGGATAAAGATGGAAAGATATGCTAAGTTGGACAATTACCATACCAGAGGGCTTTGGGAAGACCAACACAGACTAGTCCAAATGTCATCAAACGATGGATACCCCAGGGCCACTTAGAAGGGCTCTTGGGTGGTAGCAGTCAGAGGTGGGGGGGGGGGCTGTTCTCTGGGATCCTCACCCTCCATTCTCCCTGGCCACAATTTTGAGGCTAGCAGGATTCCGGATCATCTTGTCCAGAGCGCTGACCACCTGGGGGAAACGGGGTCGGGCATTCCGGTCCTTCTGCCAACAGTCCAACATGAGCTGGTGGAGGGAGGTGGGGCAGTCTGGGGGAGGGGGCAGCCGGTAGTCCTGTTCAATGGCATTGATCACCTGTGGTGATAAGGAGAAGGTCTAGGTGAAGATTTCA